CTGCAGACATTTGGCGTGCCCCGAATGGAGGCGAGCTCTAGCACAAAGAGATTTCTGACCGAAGAGTACGGCTAATCCTGTATGGGTCGCATTAATGACAGATCAAGTCCTTTCTATGGCGAAACACCATCTGTTATTCCTAAAGTACCTTTGAAACACTTTTGTTCACTTTCATGGTATAAATTTAATGTGCAAAAACATTTCCTGCAACTTTTTTACATTTACAATTACGAGGGATAAAGCTTTGAAATGTCTGTAGTTGGAAAAAACTATTTTTTGTGGTTCATTGTAGTTTCTTCAGTCACTTTCTACACTTATTTTTGACCTAACTCCAGATAAATTATTAATATCTAGGTTATAAGAGTTGCATTTATGTAAAACATATTAAAATACTCCAAAAAATGGCACCACAGCTGGTAAAAATGTAAAATGTGCTGGCGGACTGGGCGGGTCATAAAGGGTTAAAAAGCTTTTACTGGATTTTGGAGTTGGCATGATGGCCTTACATCAAGTTGTAATGTTCCCTGTTTAGTCCTTTGCGATGGACTGGTGACCTTTCCAGAGTGTACCCCCCTCCCCTCACCCCTCCAATGAATGAATGTTATATTTGTGCTTTCAACTTAGTTTTTGGGGTAACGATACATTTAATAGACCACTTTAAACTTCAATCGGCCATTATTTGGTTTTCAGATTCGTGCATGTTTGTTTCAAAAACACATAAATCATGACCTCAGCGAGACATCATCTTCATTTGGCTTGTCGACGTCTTCAAAATAACGTTCTCGCAGCTGCTGCAGGCTCTTAATAACGCCATCGGGGGGCGGGAAATGGCAGAATTCAAACAAAAATGCACCAAGTTAAAAACACATGTTAGTCAGTAAAGGGGGTGTGAATACACGTACATTGGGGAAGTCTAATCACCAAAACCAGTGAGTATACCGAGAGTACACGCAATTATTGATCATCAGAAGCCGTGATATCCAAACAGCCCAGGGAAAAAAGTAGCCCGCTGGTTACCACATGGGTATGTCATGCTGCAATGTCCCACTTGAGAAACCCGTGTGTATTCTGCACAGATTTAACCTAATGGATCGAAGCTCCCAAACACTCCCAGTATGAACTGCATCTCCAGTCCATTCGGAACCCAATCAATGCTTCTGATCCATCTGTGTGGGTGCGTTGTAGTTTGTCCAGTCATGTCGGGCAGGAAATCACCCAGCAGGGACAGTGAAGCCTGTGCCAGAGCAACTCTTTCTACATCTTGGCTCCTGACTGTCACAGCTCCTCAGTTTCCATGGCGATGCCGGCAGAACCAAGACCGTACATCGAAATCTATGGCAATAACTCTGAGAGAAATTAGTGCTGGCACAGGTGAAGGATCGAGGAGGAGGGAGGTGGGTGCCCTGAACGGCTGCCAGCCTCTCTCACTTCCTTCCCATCGCATTAATGGGGTGCTTCGTATGCTCCGAGAAGCTTATGGAAGCTTTTCTCCTAATGTATTTATCCTCTATGCAAAGAGCAATATTTACACAGGATTTTCATGCCAGGATCCTGCTTTACCCATAGTGCTAAGTGCTTTTAGAGACGGATCGCTATCTGAACACCTACTTACAATGGAGAATACTTTAATTCCTGTATTGAAATTTTTTTTTTAGTTCTAGCAATGTAATTGCCGTGTCTATTTAAAATTATCGACTTAATGCGTAAACTTCATTCCTTTCGCTCGCCTACATTCGCCAACTGGGCTTTAACACTTTGTTACCTGCCAAAGATGTTTACCTGGTGTATGGCCATTTTTGGAGAATTCACATTTACATCAACACTCCTTAAGCAATGTATTTATGGAAATATGTCATTCCCCAAGTATCTCCAAACTACACAAATAGCAGTAGTTCCACATTTTTCTAGCTAACTAGCTAAGTTTTATTAGCATTGAATGAATAAACCAAGAAAACAAACTGTGCACAATTGGAAAAACACAGCACCAAAACAAACTTTTGATAATTTTACTATCGAATGTAACATTAATGAGAGCATAAATATCAATTAAAATCAATAACTTAATGAAAGAATAAATTAGATTATTTTTATAGTGTTTTATAGTGTCACATTACACACACTCCTGCGTATTAGATGGCGATTTGTACAAAAAAAAGTATATAAAAATAGATGAAGTACAAGTAGATTCATACGGTTGGGTGACAATTCATGAATTAATAATGTTCTTCTGTGTCGGAAGTGCTCTTAACATCCACTTTCTGGATTATATTATTTTGTTGGGTATATTTTATTGTTTTATAGGGGTGTGGCAATATACTATGATGCAAAAGTCACAATACGTATCGTAGAGCTACAAGGAGACGAGGGAACTTCCCCCGTATGAAAAAGCAGTAAGAGAAACAAAAGGAACTTTATAAAACTATATAGGAAAAATTAAAAGACGTCCTCTGAGTGCACGTCATTACTGCCCCCTAGAGGCTGACGATGTCACACACCAAACTTGTTGAATGTTAATGACATATTTAAAGGTTGAAATGGCTTCAGTAACAGATTTTTGTAAAGCTTATGTTTTTGTTCATATTGTATCATGGATGTAATATCGGGATGTTAACTGAATCGTGCACAGAGTGTATTGTTACACCCAAACTTTTTGAGGGATTTTTTTGTGGGATCTGCTCACCTACTCATGGAAATGCTCTCTAAAAAAATATATAAGTCAGAAAGGATTATTGCTCTATCATATGTGGTTGCCCCTTTACAATCATGAAATCCTGAAGGTTTTAAAGGGATAATATACAATGGAATTTGATAAACACAGTAAAAATGAGACTTAATCTAGATTAAAAAAAGCTAAGCCATGACAGCCATGGAATATCACTTTAAAAAAATCGGAACGGAAAAGCCAAGATCGAGTAGAATACACTTTTTATTTCATAAGAAAAAATGTGCATTAACTACAATGGAATTGCTATATAATGGACGATCCAAAGTTTATCATCGTTTATTATCATAATGGTTGGGGATCATCACCTGACAGAACTGTCACGGCAGAAACATTAGTTTGTCTTAAAACGGTTCAGTAGAACCTACAGATAAAAGTGATTCACGTTTTTTTTGTTAAAAAAAGAGCTAAATTTAAGCATCACAAAGACTGTGTTGCAACCTCGTTTTCCCTATAAGTCACTTTTAATGCACTAGGTAAAATGTAAATGGCAGTATAATACTTTATTTTGTTTGTTTTAATGGCTGCAGATTAATTCATAACAGACTAAATCAGTTTTTTGGCTTAAGAATGGTCAAATGCTACTATAACTGGCTGATCAGTCTTTGGTGGGTGTGGTTTAGTGAAAGGTCATTTGGTTTCGTTGCAGCTATAGAAATAAACAAAACAAAAAGGCAAGTTCATTGTCAGAAATTAATTACATGTAGTTTTCCTTCAAAGAAAACCAGGCAGATGTCGTACCAGCGCTCTAAAAGCTTGTGGAACAAAGTAGGGAGCAAAAAGGATATTGATACGCTGTGTGGAACTTGCACTAAGCTGATGAAAAGAAAGAGGAAAAAGACTTCTTTAATGCAGCCTGACGGAGGACGACTGCACGACACAGCTGTGCAGGCTTCATTTTGAACAGGAAATATCCAGCTGCCAATCAAAAAGCTCCATTTCAGCACACAAACCACTGTAGCATACGGGTAAAGTGGTTTCTGTAAAGCGGACCGTATGCAAAGATTCCAGATTGACAACAGACTGACCGGACAGCCATGAAAGACTGATTCTGAAGAAGCAAATAAACAATGAAAGCCAGTTTCAATGTGCTAATAAAAAAACTTGCAGCCCAGAGAAGTAATGGCTGACCTAATTGCTAAGCTTTGTGCCAATTGGAGAGATTCACCCAATCACAGTCGAGCGGTTTGAAACTTAAACGACATCAGATTTTGGTTGTATATACATTTCTAGGGGAGTATTACTATCAAATATTATTAAGGATGGAAAAGAACAAAACAAAGGGATATTTACAGAATAGTTCATTTAATTTCACACAATCTTCATTATACTTCTGTCTCTGAGCGCCTTCCTGTATCGAAATCACTGGAAAACAATCTTCTCCATCGACTTTTAACTGTGAGAAAACGTGTTTGAATGAGGATTGATGATTAAAAAGTCAGATTTGTATCCGATCTAGGCCCACATATAAAGGCGATCTGGGTCGCATTTGAAAAAGTCGTAATTGAGCCGTTCAGGCAAAAAACAACAACAAAATAAACAACGTGAACATAGAGAGTTTTTTTATTGTTCAGTTGTCTATTTTTGGGTGATTTTAATTTAAAATGAATACAATTTATTTTTGTACCAATGCGCCTTTATAGGAAAACAATTACAGATCGCTCCATAGCAACCAGACTGGTTACCTTAGCAACCGATCAGGCATAGCTTCATCTCAGCTCAGGAAAATCACAGAGACACGTGGGTTGGACATTGACAACATTTAAAAACGCACCACCACAACCTCGCAACTACACGATTCAAACTTTATTTGCTCAGAACAATTACTTTGGGGAAGTGCTAGAAATTGTGCGAGAGAGCTTCAGCGTGGCTCAGTTGGCAGATCATTGAACCAGTGTTTTGGGTCTGATTTCCAGCTAAAGCAACACTAAACACAAAGCACAAACCAGAATTTGTTCCCATCTTCCTTGTGATTCAATCAACAGAAGCAATTCCCAAAGGTGCCGCCATGTTTTTTTACCCCTTGCAGATATTTTATGGCACAATCAAACTTTGTTTTCTTCCCTGATTGTTGGGTTTAATTATGTTTAATGTGATCAAAATAACTGAGCTTTTGATAATCTGCCTGATAACTTAAACAAAAAACATTCTTTTTCTTCTCAGCTGTTTTGATTTTGGCAAATTTGCCCAAAGCCCTAAAGTATGTCCTGCATCTGCATTTAGACGCTTTTATCCAAAGCGACTTACATTATAAGGAATTACCGCACTTAGTTTGGCTTTTCCTGTGGGTTGAACCCACAACTTTTGTGTTCCCAACACAATGCTCTACTGACTGAGCAACATGAAGTCCACTCGACCAAAAACTGGCCTCTTGTTTTACAATCCGACGAACAATGCTCCATGATGCAGCTTCAAAGCGAGGCTGACCGGAGATGGAGAAGCCAGATGTGCTCGTGTTAAGATATTGCAGCAGAGGAATGCTCTGCGAGAGTGGATTGCGATACTGTGTGAGAAGAGGATATAGTTATGGATGATAACAAACAGCATGAGGGCTACTCAAAACAAACACAGATTGTGACACATTACATCACCGGAGCTTTAAATAATGATGAGGTATGGCACGTGGACACTGAGTCATGCCACCATTAGATCCATCAACAATCAATGACCATAATCAGAAAGTTGCAATGGAAAAGCTTTCAAAAAAGGATCTCGCATAAGGCAACTACAGAGGATTTCATTGCAATGAAAGAAAGAATAAAAATAGTTCCTTACGGATGCTTTCGAAAATGTTTAATGCATCACTGCCAAGAATCAAAGGTGTCTTTTTTTCTGTGTTAATCACAGACACATCTGGCCGTCCTCGCTGGTGTTTTGCCTGCCGGCGCTGCACTCCACGATCTGAGCATTGCCTGGAGGAAGCTCCGGGAAGAAACACACCTGTCCTGAGCTCACCATGAAACATTCACAGCAAAGCAAATGTAGGACGCATAGAGCTAAATGCAGGCTAAGTGGCTTTCTTGTAGCTCAATTAGAAGGGCAAGCCTTTCTGCGGTTCAAAAAGTTCAACTGAAAAACAATTCTCTCAAATATAAAAACCACCGGTTGTAAAAGGTACAAAGGAATCATCGATTGAGCTGCACAGATGAAGTTTACCAACCCAAAGCCGAAAGGTCTAGAACAGTGGTGTCATATGCGTGTTCATCGAAACCCTTCTTAAGTAAAAGAAGTAAAAGTCTCATTTTTGTCAAATTCAAGACATCTTTATTTATTTAAACATCCCGATAGCACAGATAATCCAAGCAATGTTGGGTGATCATCTGCAGCCAATGATGGACAAGAGGGGCGTGTCATCATGAATCATATACGTCGAGTGTGTGCTTTGACCTCTGCCGAATTACAATGTGTTACTGAAAATATTACTCATAACCCATTAAAGAAGACTCTGGAAGCAAGGTTTAGGAAGGAATAATGGAAAATTCAGATTTATTCAGCAAGAAGCTAACAAATAAGATTCCTGAGAGAGAGAGAGAGAGAGAGAGGGGTGGGGGAAGGGAAAAGAGAGGGACCCCAAAGAGCCAAGTGGCTCTTTGAATGTCGAAAGCAAGAAAAAGAGAGAGCCAACAGACTCCTATAGTTATGATCTAACTTCCTGTTTGTGATATAACTTCCTGTTTTATCCCAGAACAATAGAATTTAAAATATTTTTTCTATTACAAATGTGATTTACAAGCAGTTTTCCGAAGCCCTGCTCTCTACTTGGAGCACTTTAAAGCACTTCATGATTCCTGGCCAACCTTATGGAGATGCAGATACCTGGTACCTGGTTTAAGGAACGTAGCATCCTTGTTTTTAATTGGCAGCAATGATCTTAAACCAATAGAAGATCCATGGGGTGTTGTGAAGAGGAAGATGTGATATACCAGACCCAACATAGCAGAAGAGCTGATGGCCACTACGAGAGCAACCTCGTAACACATGAGCTGATCGGCACACCGCATTGGTCCGGAAACTACTCTAAAAAGCATTTCATTTGTCTCAACTAAGGAGATGCTAATGATTTCCATAAGCAGTCAGATCCAGTCGTCACAATGAAAGGAAATGATCAGTCTGTGAGGAGTGTGGAAGAAACTTTTTCATAATATTCTGATTATATGACCAGCACCCGTACTGGAAATAAAGGAAGGATACACTACTAACAATCAAAAATGTGCGCAAGTGCAAATCCTTGTTGCTCCCGAAGAAACACTGGGGTCTTAAAGTGTGAAATGATCAGCCTGCACATTATTTATGACGTTATTACCCCTAATCCACAGCCAGTGCACACTTTACCTCGACACATTCATCATTACGCAACAAGACCAAACTCCTTGCAGACTTTGCTGCGGTTGTGGATTAAAGGTAATAATGTCGTAAATATAATTTTATCACGCTGTGATTTGTCTCCCGGTGAGATGCACAGTTTTTACAACTATCTAGCAAATAAATTGCGTTCAGAATTTAATTGCAATGCGTATCCTTCATAAACAAACGCATACATTTTTTTTCGGATACATTTTATTATAAGAAATGTTAGGAGAAAACATCAAAAATTTGTTATCGGGACATTTCCGCAGAAAATGCCTTGCTGAGATTAACATGTGCGGTATGCCGTCTTCATGATCTTACAAAACAAAAGATAATCTGGTAAAGTAAGTGACACACGTGCATTAAATGATTATGAGTTTAACAAAAGTAGACTTTCCTGTGATTTGTTGTGATGTATATGGTTTTACATGTGTCAATAGTGAAATCTTTAAAGTAATCATCAGAAAAATCTGAGGTTTGGGCCCCAACACAACGAAATAGAGATGAAGCAGATGGACATCTTTAAGCTAATGCTCATTTCACTTCCTGTGCAAATGGATGTAGCTGTTGGAGCGCACTGGACCAACCTAACACCATCCCTATGTGTAGGATTCAATCATCTGATCAGAATGACGATTAATATGATTTATCAGTGCGAATGGAAAAATTCCTAATAATTAGACAATCTGTAAAATACTGTGGCAGGTTTATTGCAAATTGGCTTCAGAAAGATGCTCCTTTGATCGGCTTTGTCAGATTGAGTTTCACAGCAATACAAAAGTACCACCAACAGCATAACGCATCAAGTTTAGGTCAATGATATCAATAAACAATTTGCATTCTGTGCACCACCATTCAGGCATCGTAGCACAGCATATCCTTTCAATTTCGGAACACGATTAACACATAACAACAAGGAAAATGCTTCATAACACAGAACAACAATAAAACGCATGTGACGCACAACTGCATCTTCAAACGCGCAGTGATGATGTCACTGCGGTTCTCCACCAATTAGAACCCGTTCATCCTGGGGCTAATTCTGGATTATTACTGAAATAAAAGTGGCGCTGGGTGTTTGAACTGTCAGAGTTTGTGTATAAAAACACCCACTGCCCCTGGTGAAGGTCTTGTAAAATGATTTTAATTGGGGGATTCTAGAAAAAAAAATGCAGAAATATGCAAGTTGTAGCAAAAGTGGCAGCACATGATTCCTCAGTTTTCCTCACAATTTCATATTTATTTAACCCAAACAAAGAGATGTTGATTTGAAAAGGTCCAAAGTAATAAAACCAGGATGTGTATGCTCGACGAAGGTTAGCTGCACTTTTTGTTATCAGTTGAGCTTTTCCAGAGAATTACTTTCTGCTTGGAGGGTGACTGACAGGCACCTGGCTATCTCTCCACCCAGACTCCAGATCTGAACCAGAAAAAGGTCAACATGAGTGTGGAAAACATCAAATCAACCCGAGTACAGTGTGACACGTGCTCCTGGAATGACATGTCTATCTGTTTCTCACTGCGGATCCCTGACAGCCTGTCTCTCTGTTTGTAATCAACACATCTGGACTGTTGCACCCACACCGGTGCAGGCAAAACGACTCTGGGAAATCTGCATTTTAGGGCACTTCACTTATTTATTAACCAGTTTTGAATCAAAGTTTTATGAATCTGTATCTATCGCACAAAAAAAAAGTGACGGCTCCCTAGCAACAAAAACTGTTTACACTAGCAACCAAATTTTCTGCCCTCAGCTTTGGTAAATGATGTAGACTTGGTGGTCGACTTAGATAACTATTAGTGACTGACCCCATTATATTATGTCACCATAGCAACCTGACTTTACCATAGCAACCATTTTGGCATGTCACTATCTCAGATAAGGAAAATAATAGAGACACAGGGGTTAGTTTATGTCGCTCATATTGGCATTGGGAACTTACGTCACTGACTCCTCCATAGCAACCTGACTTTACCATAGCAACCATTTCATTTTGCTACTAAAATACTTTTAAATGGCACTTTTACAAGCCAACATCAAAGTTTGTGCAGAAATGTTAACCATATTGTTATTATGAATATTAATATTAAAATTCCATTTGTGTTTACTGTATTGTAGATATTGTAGTAAAGTTGGGTGCCATCTGTATGTTTTAATGCTTCTCTTTTGCAAAGCTTCTCGTATTCTTTGACATGAACTGAGTGTGGGTGGTAAATACAGATAAGGGTTGGGCATAAATGGCTGCCACTCAATTAAACAGCATTTCATTATTCTGCTCAGTGACCTTAAAAGCAAACATCTCATCTTGTTCATCACTGCTCTCATGATAGCCGCTAATTCAAACGCGCTCAAACCCTTATTATGCATTTCAGACAATGTTGCGTTCGTCTGCATCCAGAGTTCAGAGCAACCTTCAATAAAAAGCTAAATTATATAAATATATATTTATGTATATATTATTAAAATAGTTGCAGGAACAAACTTTGATTTAATTAAAGTAATGTGTGTTTGCGGCCTCATAACAGCGTTTGAGAGGTAAATGTGTAAATGCATGAGCACAATGGCCATTTGTGTTCATTCTGTTATTGCATAATCGGGATTTCTAATTTCCAATAGTCTACTTTTAAAAGATTGTTTGGTCCTTTCCTGAAGTGAAATGCCTTTGTGGACCTGTTGACTCCAAAGGGAGAGGTCACAGAAAGCCTGCATTTGAGGCGTACTTGGATGCACCTAGGCAATAAAGGAGTGTATAAACTGATAAAGGGCGTTTTCTTTTGTTTCCATCTGTTCATAGTTGCATTTATAGTTTATAGATTCAATTTTATTGTCATTACACAAGTACAAGTACAGGGCAACCAAATGCAGTATTTCAATTTGTGTCGTAGATATTGTAGAAAAGTGCCATTTGTATGTTTTACACATGTAGGATTATTGGGAAAATCCAGGGCGGCCTTGCTGTCTCTCGGACGTGAAACATGCCCACGATGCGGGTGCATGA